ATAAATGACTAATTGGATATATATACATATTTGACTGAAACTCATACATCTTTCTAGTGAAATCAAAATCCCTCTTGAGTAAAATTTGAACTCTAATTTTGGAGCCTTGATGGGTTTTCTATCTAATGAACGATTGGCCGACAAAAAAAAAAGGAACTCTAATTTTGGAGCTTACGTATTATTCTACTTTTGAATGTTTGTTTTTTATTTTACTCTAATTACTTTTTCACTTTTTCTCTATGGTATATATGTTCGATCTCGTTGACACAATATGGTTGGTATACTAATATACTATCTATCATCAAATTCTTTTGTAACAGGTTCTAAAATATTTTGGGTTTAAGAAAAAACCTATGGAAAAAAAATTACATAAATTATGTTTTATTTTTCTTATGGTACAATTTTTGGAGTTTGAGTCTTGCATGCATGTAGATTGATATTCTAGTAATTCTATCGAAGGAAACAATAAAGCACAGTGTTAACGTATAATTGGGCTGGTGGGTGAATCCAAATAAACAGAAAACGTAAGCACTTAGTGGTATAAAAATTCGATTTTTATTGAGAAGGATAATTTATTAAAAACTGATCCCGGTTATGGAAGACCTATAAATTTAAATTCAGAGCTTCACATTAACAGAAAAAGAACAGTAAACCACGTTATGGCAAAAAATTATGTGACAAATCGTTAAATTTGTCATGACAAAAGAATATGGGATACAGATTCGCACGAGTTACAATGCCAAAAAACTATCAAAAGTGATGGACCGTAAAAGAGAACAGATGTCCAAAAAAGTAAGAAAAAAAATAATGACACTGCATAAAAATTATTGATGATGGGTCCCACTTTCCACAGATCTTCATCATAGATTTTCTTCTAATTGTACGGATCATGTTATCTTTATTCTTCTCTTCCAATTATTTTCATAATTAGTAGTAATTTAGTATTATCAACCCATTTAGAAAATTTATGGATTTGATATCTTATATATATTAATCGAGGAGACACTAAAAAAAAATTTATAATGTCATTCAAAAAATGTTTTAAAGAATACATTAATTAAATCAAAAATTTTTTTTAAAAAATACCACTTTTCAAGTGTCACTTTATAAAAATGCCACACTTTTGAAATCTTTACAAAAATGTACTTTTTCAAAATTATTTTTTCTTTATATCATTTATGTTTGGGTTAATTATGTTCTATTAAGATTTAGTTACGAGGGTTTAGGAGGTTTTAGGGGTCAAAACATTTTTTAGGCTTTAGAATTTTAAGATATAAGTTTTATAAATCTATAATTAGTGGCATTTTTGCAAATGGACACCCCTAAATGACATTTTTGCAAATATGCACACAAAAAGTGGTAGAAATTGCCCCTTAAATCAACTAATCATAATATTTTAATTTGCCATGGTAGAAATTTCTACATATTTTAATATTTTTTACATATACATAACATTGATGTCAAAAATATATACTTGCCAAATTTATAACCTGAAACTTCAAACCGGTTCAATTAGTAATATTTTGATTAGTGATAAATTTGGGTTTAATAACATTTTATAGAGCTGTTAAAAAATATATTTTTTTGTAAATATAAGATGTAGATCATTCGATTACATTATTTGTCATACATTATAAGAACTTTCATTTCATTTTTATTTTTTGTATACACTTAAACCGATCAATAATTTATTTAGTTAACATAATTATTTATCTAATATATTTTGATATGTATGATTCAAAACAATATATTTTAAATATGCAATAACTAAAATTTATACTCCCACATATACAAAATCTAGTTTCTTATGAATTTTGTAGAACTATATGATAATATAAGAGCATTTCCCAAAGATAGTTTCTTTTCCCAAAGATATGGTTTTATTTTAATTTATTTTTGAAAGTAAGACACATTGTTGGATTTGTGGGGAAATTAGTGTACACAATTCGGAATTCATATGGGCCGGTGCCTAATTATCTCTCGCTTGTTATTTAATTTTTAAAGTTTTGCTTCATTCTTTTCTCCAACTCCAACGTCACTTCCAACGTCATTATTAGTTGGGACCATTTTTTCTGTATATCCCCCGTTTAGATGGTGAAAACCTATGCGATTTGAATGCACCGATTTTTATCAAATTGGTCAAAACATTGGTAAATATGGAAAGTCAATGATTAATCGGTCTTTTTTTTTTACTTTTGTAAATTTTGTTTATGATTGTGCGCGGATTCAAACCCCTTTTGGGACGGATAGTTATTGTTTAAATTAGAATATTCAAAAACTGTTTCGAGATACCGAAAAGATTATAAGCCAAAAGATTCGGAATTTCCATAGTTTAACA